TTATACAATTTACTCATTTCCTTGCGATTATCTTTCAAATTGACGCCGAATTATGATTAACCCAGCCGACCTAACTATCATGACAACTTTTATATTGCTTCTCGACGACAGATTTGATCTAAACCAAGCTTTTCGACGAACAAAGTACAGCAACGACGAAGGCAACGACCAGCGTGGAAAGAAAGCTTGGGCAACAACGCGAAGAATCATGCAGCGTGGTCGCAAGCTTCTTTTTGTCCAGTGCAATCTGACCTGGCGTTGTTAAAAAATTTGAAGGGTCAACTTGTGACCTGGGCCTTGTTACGGGTGATTAATTACGCCTTGAGGCAAGGTGTAATTGAAATCTCCAGTAAAAAAGGTGGGATTTTGTGCCAGATGTTTTCGAATTTTCTATACCCAGGGGCATTATTTAATTGCCGCACGCGACTGCTCAGCTGGTGGTACCCAGTTAAATTTTACTCGTCCGAATCGGCCCAAAGATGCTTTTTCAAACTTCATTCATACAAGAATGTTGTGCTACTCCTTGACAGAAAAAAAAGTCTTTTTGCTTGAATTAAGTCAACTCTTTGAGAACTGGGATTGTTGGACTTGGGCAACATACTTTTTCTTGCAGTGTACCGGTATTTGTATGTTTGGAATGTTGTGCCCTAAAGTAGTATACATGACAACAGGTAGCATAGCAGGAGTCAAAAATCTAGGTCATTGTTCAGTATAATGACCTTTGCACTTGACTATCTTATGGTATTTCTTGTACAATTGAATTATAATAATTACCTTGTTTAATCACATTTTTTTTTTTCACTCTTGGTGTTTTATAATGTACTTATAAAACTTTCCATTCCTCTGCCTTTGTATACATAGATTTGGTACGTAACTTGGTTTAATTGTATTGATTGATTATTAAATGACTTCTAAATTTGTCATTTGCTTTTAAGATCTGATGTATAAGAAAATACAAAAAGCACAGAAATTTTACTCTAAATTCATTTGAATATACTTGATCTTAATTGATATACACTACTATTATTAATTTTATTTATTTTAGCCTTAAATATTTCACCTGGCCATTGTTACATACTGTACATTAAATATCAGATGATTATATTTTGTAGTCTTTGGTAATTTGTTTATGTGTATAATATTTTACTTTGTAATGTTTTGTTCTTCATACCTGTAATAGAAGAAAAATTAAAATACAATACAAACAACATTAGAAATATAAATTTTGATTCTCTATTAAAAATAGCAATTAAAAAGTACTTAACTTCTCAACAGAATATAAAGACTGACATACTGCAATGTAATTTCCATTTGCAATATCCTATTTTTAAATTTTTTTTGTTAGAACACAAATTGAATCGAGCATAGCCAAGTGAGAAACTTTGCCATAGATTTCCTGTTTATAGTACTATAGCGCGACTACAGGATAGTTAATAGCTGACCTTGGAAGTAAGTACAGTGTATTAATTTAGTCTGATACACCCATCTGTAACCACATACTGTACTGGTAAATATTATCCTTTGTTTAACCTAGATGCTATAATGTATGGTTTAACTAAGGAGGTATAAAAATACCTCATTGTTTTAACATTCCTCAGTTGAAGAACAGCCACAAGATATTTATAGGAAAGTTTTTGCAGTGTTTAACACTATTCTTGCTTGTTATTCAAGTTTGTCTAGACTGCTTTGCTTTTATTTCTGAAGTACTTAATATGTTTGTAAGACTATTATCTGATCATTAAATATAGTCATAAAAACTGAATTGTTTGAACTGCCTCATGGCAAGTTGTTGATAGATACCGATACAGGTTACTTTAGTGTCCACTAACTATTAGAAATTGAATTAAATTTGACCATATTAAAGGAGTTATTCAAGGTTTTTTTTAAATACTTTTTTTAGGGTTATTAGATACATTAAACCATCGACGCAACACCCCCTCCGGCTCCCGTTAACTACCTCACTGGCTATGGCTACACTTGAATTTCAAGCCTACATCAAATCCAATATGTTTGTCCCTTAAGTTCAGACAGTGAAATCATTTTCTGAATTATGTTTGGTATTTTTTCCTGAGTCCTGATGTTGTGAATGGGTTTTAAGCTTCTAGCTAATCTAATGAAATTAACCCATGAAAGCTACAGTACTTTAAAAAGTTCTTGGCTTTATTTACTAAACATTGAAACTTAAACTAGTTTTATTTTAGGTATAGGTAAGTGGTTACCAATTTTTTTCCCTTCAAAATTGGTTAACAAAGTATTTGAATTTGGTGCAGCTAAAGTCCAAATAACCAAATGAAACCAGAACTCGGCACCAAAATCAGTAAATTTTTACATGGCAAATTTGGAAAAAAATAAAAACTTGCTGAAGAAAGTTGAAACACAAAATTTCTCTCAAGAGCATTTGATCAGCTGTTTTCAGTATTGTTAATTAGTAGGTGGGTGCTATATGGTTGAGTTGAATAATATGGTTAAAAAGTTTGACCTACATCTTTAGGTCATGTACTGTAGAAAGAAGGTCACCTCTTCAAAACCACTTCAATCAGGGTTTATATATTGAGTAAAGTAATATTTAGTTTATCAGAAATTTTTTTCTTTACAACAGACAAATAATCTATAAAATAACTTGGTCTTAAAATGCTGGTTGGTACAGACAAACGTTAAAACTGTTGTCTGTCATTTTGCATTCTTTATTATCATACCACATAAATATTATAACAACATTTTATTGGTCAATTCTACTTGGTACGGTAAGAGTTTCAATATATTCCCTGCATGTGCATAGAGTCTAAACGTGTAGCGTTACCCCAAATTAATTCCTGGCGATCTTTTACGGTACCAGCATAGCTTTCCTGTTCTGTTCTTTATTAATTATGTAACCACATACATTACCTATCTTTAATAGGAGTGGTCTATTGTCTTTTGTGTGTCTGTGTATTAAAAAAAAGGGAAAAAAACCAACTAAATCCTGAACTAAATAACTAGGCCTACCACAACTATTAGAGTACAATTATCCTTAGAATTTACTGTTGAAATTCTTATTACTGAAAAAAATATGTTTGTGTTTTTTGGGATTTTTTGTTGTTGCCTGAGCTGGAACTAATTGATACTGTAGTCTAACTGACCTATTAACAACAATGCAAGAATGTATTGTAGGCATCCTTGACTCTCTTTTTTCTAATCCACCTGATACTGTATGTTTTAACCAGCATATGTTCAAAATAAAATAAGAATTTCATATTCATCCTTCCTAATTATCCTAGGTTTATTTAATATAGTTCTTGATGAAATTTCATTTAAATCTATCACAGCATCAGTAATTTGTTGTGTAAGTATGGGTTTGCCCTGATTACTTATTAACCATACAATTTAATTAACATATTGGATCATGCATTAGTAAGGAATAAGTAGAGCTGTATCTTTGCAGTGTCGAAGAAATGAGGATGGTTTTTTTGCACACAGGCCTAAAAAAAAATTAAGCCAAGCATCCACTATGTGAAGAATTATTGGACTGTTTTCGGATAGGCAATTAACATTGGAAGTTGAAGTGATGATGTAACGATTAACTTATAATAAGCATTAGTCGACAGGAGTACAGTACCTGTATGTCTACAACTCTGCTTACTTCAGTTCAATGGAATTTATGCAAACATTTATGTATTGATCTGCTTTAGGGCAAATTTTATTGACATTTCAATGCAAATTATCCTGTCAAACCAACCCTTTGGTACTTATTAATCTGTACATATATATCAGTAATACCTATTTATATTCACTGGTACTACATTGTAGGTTACTTTTTCATTTGGTATATCACTATTATAAAATAATATTAAGAAAATATAAGCATTATTACAATAAACCGTTATAAAATACTAAAGTGGTTAAAAAGTACAGAAATGTGGAATATATAAGTAGTATTTTTGAATTGACATTAAATCAATTTATTCTACAGTAAAAATATTCTAAATCTCTAAATTTCTATAATGAATACAGTACTAACTACTGAGTGTGTTTTAAAATATAATTCTAAAGAAATGTACTATGCTCAAATATCATCTCATTTTAGATAGACCTATACAGTCAGTCATACTGTACTAATACTCTACATTATTATAATTAAGAGGGATTGAAACATTGTTTTAGACCTTTTTAAGTACTTTTGTACTTTTGAGATGGACCAGAACACCGAATAACCCCCTACTTGTTTCGAAGGAAGTACTGGGGTCTTTATAGTGCACACAAGCCGTTGTATACACTGGGCCTACGGTTTATGGTCCTTGTCCGAGAAGACTTGCTCCACCTCCAGAACCATATAGGCGAGCGTGCCGTTCGAACCAGTGCCGATATTATGGCCGTAGCTTGTGACGCCCCTGCTAACCGCTCAGCCATTTGACTCAAGCCTAAAAAGTAGAGCTCAGCATTGATGACTCAACTGTTTAACATTTTAAGTTTTCTATGTTCTAATACCTCTAAATGTTTATTGTGTTGTCTTTCTATTTTAATGTGAGCTAAAGCTTTTAAAACATTTAAAACACGCTTTAAAAGTCAAGCTTCCTTAAATTCCTTACTTGATTCTCTTGTATTGAGATTTAATGGATATCGTTATTATGTATACACAGTATACATTTTTACTGTTATAATAAACTCAGTTAAAAAAATTTTATTTTTAAAATTACAAATTAAAATTTATGTAATATTTAAATATCCTACTTAACAGCAAACATATTTTTTTACTTGTGGAGATGAGTTCATTTAATATAAATATTGGTGTACAGTCTCTGCAGGGGTGCAAAAGGGTACACATACCTTTACCCCCAAAAAAAGCTCATTCCCCTTCTCCCAGTCACCTCCCCCACTGAAAATCTAAGCAAATATGTTAACCTCAGGCAGTTAAAAGATTAACTAATTTTCGCCAGCTGGTGTCCCTTAATGAATCTTCAAGTCCTCCCACTTAAACTTGGCATGGTTGGTAGATCTCAATTGTCGGTTTTGTTTACTTTCAGATGTGAGGAAGAAGATTCACCCTCCAAGTAAGAAGCTTTATGATCAACAGATTGAAGGTCTCGTTCAGAAGATATCGACTTTAGAGACCAAGCTTGTATCCTTTATGTCAGAACTTTGATATAGTCTTTGTAAAATCGTGTTTTCCTTGCTCTCTCCAATTAAAGCTGTCTTGTCTCAAAGAATATTGGAAAAATAGCTGCTGGCTACATTATATAAATATTAATATCACAATTGAATCAGGCAGACACATACTATAACTTAGAATAATCAAATTATGTACTTGTCAATGTTTATCATAGTATATTTTTTATAATAAAATAATAAATACATAACTCTCACATTGTATTAGGCATAATTAATATTATCAGTACTTTCAACACATGTTCAGGGTGGCATTGTCAAGCACTCTTAAGCTGACTGTACCAAATAAATACTCTCTTATCTGGAATACAGTCTTCTGTGTGGTTATTGCTTAGCAACCACATTGAGTTACTAAATATTTTGAATACAGTATTTCAACTATAAAATTAAACTTGCATAAATAATAGAATTAATAATACATGTCATTGGAATCAATAAACAAATATAATTTTCATTTAAGTATACAAAGTCTAATTTTTAGAATCTTCTAAATATTTTTGGAGATTGTTTGTGGAAAATCATTGAGAAACTTATTTCAATTCTATTGTACTTTGCATTTTTACTTAACAAATTGCTGTAGAAATCTTTGAAGACACAATCTTCCGACAACCTTAGCCCGACAGGCACTTTAGAACGGGACTCACACTTTCTGAAGACGTTACGAGAAGACAAAGAAAATAAAATTAAAGAGAGGAAGAAGATTGAAGAGGAGCTCAAAGTTATAAGTAATACTATTAGTATAAAGGTATGTTATTTTATTTCATTTAAACATTAGTACAGTGCTAGAATATCTTATTAATTAATTTCTTTACATTTTAACACTTTCAAAAAGAGAAAACCACAAAAGATGACATCTGGTTGTGGAGACTTAGATACCCAAGTAAACTTGTACTAACATCTAATTAAAAGTATAAATACTTTTTTGTTTTCCAAATGTTAGACTTGCCACAAGTCTAATTTATTGATTTCTGCTAGTATTAGATAATTTCGGAGAGTGCCACCAGCGTCTGTTTATGTTGAGAATAACTTGTATGTTGTTAAATTTTGGAAAGAAAAAATATAGTATGGAACGCAATGCAAATAAGTAATATGGAACGCCATTATTGCCAAAATCGATTTATTTTTACATGTTTTCTCTGATTAAGACAAAATTTAGGGACTGGAATCCAGTCTATCCACATGGTAGTAATAAAATGTTTAAAACAGATACTGTATTTAATTTTTAAATTTTATTAGTTTGTTTCATTTACATTTTGGCACAAACCAAGGCATGGAAAATTTCAAAGATGGTAATACTATAATTATTGTTAAATTTCGAATCTATTGATAGGAATGATTGCAATAAATTTGTATTGTGTATTGAAAAGTATACAATCAAAAAAATAATGGTGGAGAAAGACAGCATCTGCTTGTGAAAACCTGGATACCCACAAGTATACCAGTGTATTATCATCTAATTGGCAATACAGTATTTCCTCAATGTTTTTGTTTTCTTTATAGAAAGATGTGTTATCCAAAAAGCAGGCAAGGCTACCAGCGAAATCTGTTGATAAACTTGAATCCATGATTAAGAGGTTGGAATATCAACTGGAACACACCCACTTTAACCTAAGGGAAGAAACTAGAATGGTGAAAGAGATTGACAGTCACAAACGATCCATGAAACATCTAAGGTTTGCATTGCAATACTGATATGACTTCGTGGTTACAGTGGTTTAGTTTGATCTTCAATAAAATACAGGATTTTTTCTTACAATAGGAAATGACACTACTCTTCAAGTCGCATCTGATTATAGAACCATGGGCATCGATCGGTGGGGGACAGGGGGACACGTCTCCCCACTTTTCAAAGTAGGGGGGACATCATATCGATTGTCCCCCCACTTTTCACCAAAGAACGTTTCTTTGGCACGAAATCAATACCGTCCCGGGAATGCCAAAAAACCATTCTCTGAACAAAAGAACTGTTCTTCGTGGGGTAGTTTTTAGCTGCAACATAAATAGCAGCCTAATTTCAACTTTGCCACTAGGCTAAGCCTATATCTAGAATTGTCAAAAAGGACGTAATTGTGAGTTACTTTTTATCAGACTTTGTAAAATATTTCATGTTAATGATTTAGGCCCCCTAAATGATTCTGCCTTTGGACAAATTCTCAAGTTTTTTAATAGTGATCCAAATTATCAGAGTGATCCACCAGTCCATCCAGTGATGCAGTTTTAGTAGGCCTATCACTGGTAGTCCCAACTATATAATAATTTACTATTAGGAGGAATCAGTAAAACAAATGTTAAGCTTCTGTTCACAACACAATGAAATATTTTCTTATGTTAGGTACTGTGAGAACAAAAGTTTAACCATTGTTTTATTTGAATTCCGACATTGTATTCAGATGGTCATTGTTTGTATCTTGGTAGTCGCGCGAAAATATTCTTGTTTTGTTTTAAAAGCTTTTAAGTTTTATTATAAAGGTCATTTTAAATTGCATTCTGGGTGAATATTATGTCATGTTAACCACTTCATGTATGGTCAAAATGTAGTTGCAACACGATTCTTATCTTGTTAATCTGAGTATTCAGCCAATGATAGGAGAACCGTTTCTTTCTCGATAATATTCAGTAGAAACATGCCCCTAGAAGGTTGGCTTATATTCAAGGACATTTCATAATCTAAGCTAGAAAATGAGATGAGAATTGATTTCCATTTACTACAGTGTTTTGTTGTGTGTATGTTTTTGTTTGTAAGTTATTCTGTGTGTGTTTTTGGAAAGTCCAAAGGAATTGAATTTAATTGCTCTTATAAAAGAATTAAATATATTATCATCTTTATATATCATTTTTTTTTATTGGTTATGAACTTTTCTCTTCAGGGAATGCCTTGGAGAAAAGGAAGAGCTTGATATAGAAGTAGCCAAGAAGAATAGATTAAGAGCACAGAGAGATGTAAGTGTTGACACTTATTTTACCTGCAAAGCATCGTGAGATAAATTCTTCAATTTTCTCACCTTACCTCAAGGTTTCCACATGATTTTCATGTAATAAAAAGGCTCATTAATTTTCTGAGTCATTGGTTGACATTTATGTTTTAATGTCTTGTGTGTTTGATCTGTTTTACTCAATTGTATGTTATTTGTCTCCTGGGAGGCATTGGACATTTGTTGCTCTAGAAATTTACGGTTCATAGACAGTTGATATGTGATATAAAGTGAACATGTGACAGGTGATTACGTGGCAAGGCGATCATGTGACAAAGTGATCATGTGACAAAATGTGTTTTTGACAAAAGTGGTCATTTAAAAAGAGTATCATGTCACTAAATGGGGTCATGTGACAAATTTTTATCATGTGACACCATGTGAGAATATAACAAATGATCATAATTATGATAAAAAGTTTGTCACTTCAAAAAATGTGATAATGTGACAAAAATTGGTCACATGAGACAAGGCAATTACATGATACAATGTGGTTACTTACAACATTTAAGTGATTGACGACAAAATTAGATGATTGACAGATGCATTGGAATTCTTTGCCTAATAGAAACTATTTAAGGAGATAAGTGGTTTGAGGTCAGAGGAAGACAAAGTGAGGAGACAACTAAAGGAAGTGCGTAGCCAAGCAAGTATAGAATGGAGTAACTTAAAGAAAGGTAAGCCACAAGCAGCTAAGATTATAAATAGTGCATAATACCTTAACAATTGTTCTTTCTGCTTGCTTTCATAATTTTGTGATATATCGTCATAATGATAGGATGTCTTTTTAGACCAACAATTTTTTTAGACAGTGTCATAAAATCTGGAAATATACCTTAAAAATTCAATTAAGAGTTTGAATTATAGTTGATATTTTTAATGTGCGGCTTAACCATTGTCGTTGACTTCCTGAAACTTCAAACTTCAAACGTAGTTTTCAATGTAGTGCTCCAACTTTATTAAATAATCTCCCGATATCGATTTGCCAGTTTACAATTGAAACTCTCAAATAGAAATATAAAAGTTTAATTAAATCTTGATTGCCTCTCTTTTTACTGGCCTGTCTTCCCTATTATATTTAGATTTTTTGTAATTTAATTGAGATTAAGGTTCAATCTCAAATTTACCTGAGCTGCACTGAAGAGTCCTTAAAGGACGAAACAACGTTGTATGCAGATTGATTTAACTTAAAGTTTATATTTATACTCAAAGTTATGTATTTATATATGATATGTTTTCTGTGTGCTTTGTTATTGTATTTTATTGTCAAGGGCCCCAATGATCAGTTTGCTGGGTTTGTAAATGATGTAAACTATATTGAAAATTTTTTTTTGCAGAAATTGATGACCTCTATAATCAAAAGCGTAGAATTACAGCAACTTATCAGGCTGAATATCGTCAGTTCCATGAACGCCGTGCAATGTATCGAGAACAAAATGAACGTCAAAAAGTGATGCAAAGGGAAGCTAAAGAGCGGGAATTGTAAGGAGACTATTTCATTTGAATTATTTATTTAAATATTTAAAAATAGTTTTCTACCTCCTACAGAAACAACTTACCAAAGTACAGGGAGCTGTGTAATACATTAATTAAGTTTGGGATTATATAGCAGCTTATACAAGTTGAGTCTCAAAGCGCTTGCCACGTTATTAAATACATAGATTGGTAAAACAGCACAAAGACAACATTCTCCGTCCCCTGAGGAGCATGCCTGGTCAATGGTGCCAGACCAATACATTCAGTGCCACAAAAATACTACCAGGTACCCATTTAGGCCTTGCCTATAATAATCAAGAGCATTTTTCACATCCGTCGTCGATGAAATTCACCAACAACTTCATTTCTATCTGTCTATTCTTATATGCTTATATAATATACTTTTATCTTTTTTTTTGTAATTAATTTTTTTGTTTTAGGAAACAAAAGATGAAAGAGCATATACCAGATCCGTATGCTTACAAGCAGAGACAGATTAACACACTGATGACCTACCTGCAGAGACATTCATATACCCAAGATGCAAGTTCCCACAATGCCTCACTCGGTCAAGACAGAAGCTCATCCCTCCTACAGTCAATTCAAGACGGAGCAAGTGCTAGCCACATACCAGCCGGTAAGGACAAAATCACCCCTTCTTAATTGGGAGTTACCTTTAAACTTAAAAGCAAACTCCAATTTGATTTAATATATGACTAACAGTAATTGCAATTTCTTAATCGGGTACATCTCTTTTCTCGTCATCAGGTACATCTCTTTCCTCGTCATCATCTTTTAATGAAGATCGCGGACACGTCCTTCAGCGTAAGAAGAATGAGGAAGATGAATGGATGTTTGCCGGAAACTTATCTCGTAATAAGAAGAAGCGAAACAGGAAAACCTCATGGATGGTACCTAATGTTTTTTTGTTTGATGTTGTTATACCATATAATATAAAGTAATAATTAATGAGGACAGCCATAGTGGTTCTTGCCTTCCAATGACATGGCTTCAGATTGAACCCTAACAAAACAAATATGTTTTTCAAAACCAAAAATTTGAATCCCTATGTGCTGTAGATCATCAACAATCTCATGACAATTGGCTTTGACTCAATTCAAAAATTCAATTTTGAGATTCAATATTTGTCAAAATATTGCATAAAATATAAATATAATAAAAGAAACAGGTGCAAATATTGAAAAATGGCTTGATGGGATATTTATGAAATAAATAAAGGTAGGTGCATTATCAAGATGATGATGCAACTTGTGATAAATTGGATTAAACATCAAATGACAGATTTAATAAAGTGTTTTCTTGTTTTCTCTCTTTTAGAATAAAGTTATCAGTCATCCACCAGACATCTTTCCACTGTTTTCTGAACTAGGACTGACAGCGCCCTCGTCGGTTGGGGATGTAGCTGAAGTTGTCAGCCAACTTCAAAAAGCTAAGGTATTATAGTACTTATTACTCTGTGTAACATTTGTCTCTTAATATGTTAATATTATGATTGTGTTTATGATTAATGTGTTGTATTTTCCACTAAAGAGCTATTCTACTTTCACAGCTTCATTATGAGCAATGCTCCAAGAGGCAAAGGTCGGACACAGGAAACACTGGAATTGACTCAGGCACAGCATCAAGCTCGGAGTGTTACTCTCCGAGTGTTACAGATATCATACCAAACTTCAAAGCCCATGGAAAGAAATCAAAGACAGATGTGACAGGTGACACACTCCTGAACGATGAGGATGATGAAAATGATAGTGTTTTCGACGAACCCGCTGATGACGAAGATCCTTTCCAACTAGGAGGTAGCTGCATTCCGCCAAGTGTAAAACCGAGGGACGAGAAACCTATCCTGAAATTGAAAATTGGCACAACGAATCACAGTTTTGAGAGTAGCATGTCACTGCCCAAGCAAAATCAAGGCCAGAGCTTAATTGAAGATAATGGTGCGGTAGTTACTTACCAAAATATCAGTTCTAACAGCGAGGAGCTTACCCCACTGCCAGATGTCAAAGTGCCTGACCTCATGACCTCCTTAAGTAGTTTAAGCATGTCTGATATATGTGAAAGTGAGCAGATGAATATAGAGAAAATTGAGCCAGTCGTGTCCGATGTACAAGAGTTACATGTTGTAGGAGAAGGTTCATTATGATGAGAATCTTCACTGTGATGCTGTTCACCAATTTCAATTATATGTTTTATCTGTTATCATGCAAGTTTTGTGTGTGAGTCCCAGTGTCCAAGAGTAATTGGCATTTCTGCGATTATTTATGTTAATGAGTCTGTTGTTTCTAAATCTTGATAGTTTTCCATTATTTTTGCTGCATTATTATGATGTCAATTACAGCTATGGTTTAATTTTGTTTATTTTTGTATAGTAGAATTTATAAACTAATTATTATATATGTTATTTTATTCATTGTTTTTGTTATTATTATTAGAATAATTTCATGGTGTTTCCATGAAGCAATAATGTTTAATTTCAAAAGCTTGTAATGATAACCCATCAAAGCTTGCTTGTTTTGCCGGTATATTGTGTCCAACTAGTACTTTGTTCTAGGGTGTTGACGAAGGTTACAACAATGTTATAGTGTTGTAATTGTTATTATTATTATTATTATTATTATTATTATTATTATTATTATTATTGTTATTGTTATTATTATTATAATCATTATTATGGTCATGAGGCCAAAAAAGCCTATGTTGCCTATGCCTGGCCGACCAAAAAATCTATTATCGGTTTTTTTGCCAGAGAAGAGCACAAATTACATGTATGAGGTTTCAAAAGACCTCTTTTAAAGCTTTAATCAATAAATTTGATACCTTTAACATGAATTTTAGCATTGTATCCATTTTACTAACTAAAATGCATGATGATGAGCGATGGTTGGCAATGAACTCTAGAATTAGGTCTGGGTCATATAGTTTAAAAATATACATACAAAAGATTGCTGAGCGACCCTTGATTTTAAAAGTCGCTATGCATGAGCAATAATATTTTTTAGCCTCATTATTGTTGTTGTTGTTGTTTTATTGTTATTGTTTTTGTCAACCACATAACCACATTTATGTGTGCTATATAAATCCATCTATTATTATTGTTATATTACTATTATTGGTTTTTTTTATTGTTATTGTAAATATTTAAAATTAGGCATGGAAGTAGTATCAAATGACTCAGTCATTTTTACAGTTCAACCAATCTAACCAAAAAGATTAAAAACAAATGATCGTAGCAAAACTTCATTAAAACAAACCTTTACTTCCATCTCTTTTTAATAATAACACTAATAATAATAATAATAATAATAGTAGATGGATTTATATAGCGCCTATAAACGAGGTCTCTATACGCTCGGGACTAGATGTTGCACTTTTCAATAACTTTCTCCTCCCCTGAGGGTCACTTCATGTGTTCAGCAGCCAGTAAACCGGCGCACTTTCATCTGTCCACAACAGGGGTCTAGTGAACCAGTACACCGGGGTAACCCCTACTCATCTCAAAAGATGTACTGGGTTCTTTAAAGTGCACATGAGCATTTTTGTACACTGGGCCACGGTTTATAGTCTTTTTTCCGAGAAGACTTGTTCCACCACCAGAACTATAGGAGCGAGCCAGGCCACTAACCTGTGCCGATATTTTTGGCTATGATCACGGTGCCCCTGCTTTAACTGCTTGGCCATTTGGCTCGGCCGTTTGGCTTGCTCAAATCTATTTATGTATAGAATGACATCTGTTAAAATACAATCACAAAATTATTTTGCAAGTGTGAAGATTATTGCATTTCAGTGTCAGTCAATGAGTAATTCATAGTAGTACCTTGACCTTGATTTTTTGATTCGCGTCGTCTTAAGCCAGGCACTTACTACACACGACGGTCCTCGGCCGATGCGATTCTATGAAGAATGTAACGCGACAAAGCGCGCGCAATAGATTGTTTTTAATGACGATCTCTTCAGGCTGCTACTGACAATCGGCAGACGACGTTGCTGCATCAGTCGCTTACACAGAGCGGAGTTTGATTTGTCGTCTGACGGTCGCACAACACAGTGAGTGCCTGGCATTAAAGCATAGAATGTAAAGGTGTCGTTTTAATCTAACTGTTAAAAAGTTGTGCTTTCAGTTCTCTCCCGAAATTTGAATGGTCGTCGGCTGAATCAACATTCAGGCCATAAAGAGAATAGTACTTTATCAACAGTTGAGTTGAAGTGCATTAGTCTTTGCATTCATCACATCTTTGCATACACGTGATTGACACTCGCACGATGCTAGTTGTAAATGAGAACAGCTGTTCTGCATTCTCCTTCTATTTTGCAAATTAAAGCTCCCTAATACTAGTAGTCAGCTAATTTCTTTTATTGACAATAATTAATTTGTTATTCATTTTTAAGTATTCATTTCAAAAAACTATTCAAAACATTGATTTGTTAAACATGTTTGAAATTGAATTTTACAAAGCAAGGTAATGTTTGAGTGGGTTTCACGCCCTCAACCTTAAGGTCGTGGATTCAAATCTCATTCTGTACAATCCACCTTAGACAAGGTTAAATTTTGTTCCTGCTTGTATTCTAGTAGGCTAGAATTCCAATAGGAACAGCATCTTCTTAAAATAATATTAAATATTTTAACTGCTCAGTTTGTTACACTGTATGCTATTAGCATTCAATTTTTTACAGTTAAAGGATGCATGAATAATACATTTCTGTACTCTATGTAGACTCTTAAATAATCTGAAAGGTCCACTGTTAATCTCAGATAAAAATTATAATACATACTCAAGTCTCCAAGTATTGAAATACACGCCATTGTGTTTGGATTCAATATTTCGACATTGATTATGTCATCTTCAGGAATGAAAATTTTTCCATATTTACAAGCTTATATACAACGAATTCCAAAAAGTGTCTAACCAATCAAAACATTACCTCTAGTAGTAGGTGACATAGCTGCGATTTAAAGATCAAAGCATTCTTACTCTACTGATCAAAGCTGCTTTGTAATTAATTTAAGGATCAAAGTCACCTGAAACTGATATTTTCTTTATCTGTGTTTAATTGGGAGTTAATAACTGAATTGTTCCTTTTAAAATGAGCAATTAAAATTGTAATTTATTTTTTTAGAGGTTTTACCACAGTAAGTACATCTTTAAATGTCAATCAGTAAATGTCAATCAAATTGAGTGATGTCCATTAGATGCTGCAAAAGCACAAAAGTTAATTATGTATAAAATGGAATTGTATTACTTTTACACAAAGTATTCCAGCCTTCTCATATTGTATCAGAATTTTTATAAAATAGCAAAATATTTTTTACAAGTGTTTCAGTTGGTATAAGATTTATGATACATAAATCTGATACAAAAATGAGCTGTAGAAGTTGGTGAAGTTGCTGTTAATGTTTTTGGATCATAGAATTATGTTTTTTTTATATCTTATAATTTGTATCTTAATGATTACATAATAATATTATGTTTCAAAGTACTGGTTAATATTGTTGTAGATGATGAGGCAAAAGCCTAGAAATGGTAAACATATCAGTAATTTTATTTGTAAAATATACCTTTTTAATTTTTTGTTTGTTATGATATTGTGAACTGTTCTATCACCTGTGCATTTCAAAATAGTTTATCAATCTACTTTGTGATAATAATACAATGAACTTGATCGATAATGATTTCTTATCAAAGTTCTACAAAACTATTTAAGTCAGAGCAAGGTGTACTTCTGGAGGGTGTTGAAAAAAGATAGTGCTGCTTAGAAATACAGTATTAGGTAGATTTCGCCGCACGAATTTAACATTAACGGATGACGTCATAGTTTATTCATCTTGTGTTGCGGAGTACGTAAATTTCAGGATACGGGTTTGCGCATGCATATTTCGATTTGTGTACGAAAAGGGGCAGAGCTATCACATTGCATGTCGGGTACTAACGATAAAGTTAAGGTTAACATCGTGCGGCGAAAACTACCTATTTACTGAAATGTGTATGTTGGTGAGAGTGCTGTTTTATTGATTACTGTGTCGTTTAGACTAATGGCCATGGATTTCAGAGTGGGACATGCTTTTTTAGCATGATCCAGATGTAAGGGTGTGGCTCAGAGAAGTGGGTGTGGCTTGGAGCACTGGAGTTGGTTCCGAAAATGGAATGAGCTTTTTTGAGCAATGAGTATGGTTCAGATTTTAGGGCATGGCTCAGAGAAATGGGCGTGGCTTAGAGAATTGACCTGGCACTGAAAATGGTACAAGCTTTTGAGCAATGAGTATGGTTCAGATTTAAAGGTGTGGCTCTGAGAATTGGGTCTGGCTTAGAGCAGTGGACCTGGTTTTGAGAATGGCTTTTGACCAATGAGTTTAGCTCAGATTTAAGGCTGTGGCCATGAAAAGTGGATGATTTGGAGCAGTGGAGCTGGGTCTGAGAATCAAGTACGCTTTTTGAGCAAAAACAATGGTTCAGAATTAAGGATGCAGCTCTAAAATGTGGGAGTGGTCTGGAGCAGTGGAGCTAGGTCAGAGAGTGAGACCCATTTTGAACATTGTGCACAGTTAAGATTTTAGGGTATGGTTCTCATGAGAAGTAAGCATGGTTTTTAGCAGTGGGCCTAAATCAGATAATAAGGTGTATTTTTGAGAAATGTGCATGGTTCATAATTAAGGTTGTGCTGTTGAGAAATGTGTATAGCTGGTATGAGTTTGATGAGTGAGCTTAGTTTCAAATATTCTTTTATCGTTGAATTTTCTAGAATTTAAGTAAAGCAATTTTACAAATGATTATACTATAATATTTAAATATTTGAAATTTATTCATTGATAAACATGTAATTATAATAATTAAATATTAAAATGACCAAATAACTTTTTTTCAGGTTATGCTAATGTTGTATTATTGTGAAAAAAGTGATGCCTGTACTAAGTAACAGATATTACAAGTATTTTTTGAAAACATTGGCATTAATAGTGTTTATTTACAGGTTATGGCAAAAGATATTAATAACATCCTATTGGTGTTGGATGATGTAAGTTTTGACTGTGTAGATTCTGGTTGTGTGTAGATGCTGGTTATAGTGGTGATGGTTGCTTGGTGGTGTTTTTGGCTATGGGATAGGTGGTATTTATTGAAGTGGTGATGAGTATTTATTATGTGGTGTAGGAGGGTAGGATGATGTTGGTTGTGTAGATGATGGTTGATGGTGATGAGAGAGGTAGTGGTATTAGTGGTGTAATTTATGATGGTTGCTAAGGTGATGGTTATAATAGTAATAATGGTTATTATAACTGGTGGTGGTATTAATGTGGTGTATGATATCAATTAAATATTAAGAGATAGTGTGGAGCTCATTTTGGTTGGGATAATAAGAGTGGTTGTGATAAATGATCTTGGTTTTGTAGATGATGCTTGTGCGATGATGGTGGTTTTAGTGATTTATTTATTTCAATTTTGCTGTATTCTGGATTAGCACACTCAATGCAAAGGCACTGATTTTCATTGTGCTCCAGATTAAATCACAAAATTACATAAAACCATATATATTGAAAAAGAAAAATTGTACTACAAGAGAGAATGTTGACTATGTTTTACTTCAGATGATTGTGATAATGGTACCAAATTATCAGTGGCAGATGATTAATAAAAGTTACAATGAGAGCAACATAGCTCGGTTGGCTAAACTGGTGGAAGCTACTGTGTGTGCGCTGAACCGTGAAGATCCCAGGATTCTTGGTTCTAGCTGCTCTCCTTGTTTTCCAGCCGGAGGGCTGAATTACAAGTAACCATTGCGCACTGTCTTTTGATGGAGTTATTGTTAGCACCATGTACGTTATTGCCTTGTGCAAGTTAACACCTTGACTGCCAGACCTTTTTTAGGTTCCTTCCCATGTGCCAAAACAAGTATACATACATACAAACATATTTTTTTGAAATTTTATCTACTCATATATCATCAAAATGATGTGTCTAATAAATTGGCAGGAAAATATTAGGGGGCGAGTATACTCGTCGCCGGCACTGTGAAAGCACTCTTTATTGACTACGCAAAAGTGCGAGGTACCGCTATTTGCATGGGTTGGTATATGTTCAAAGGGCGCCCCACTTGTGTCGCTCGAGTGTGCTACCGGCAACATAACACAACAAACATACATTCATCATTTGTACATCATCAAGGTGTATCTTCCCCAAACTACCAGCCGTTGAGTCTGTGGTTCTACAATGTTAAACAAAGAAGTTATAAACGCTAGAATGTTGCCCTCGATTTTGACGAGTATATTCATCCCTGGCGCACTCAGCAACACCCTGTGGGCGAGTATATACTCGTCGCTGGCAGCCAACGTGTTAAAGAAAAATTCTACATTTTTTAAAGAAGGGGATTTTTGGTGTACAAACTAATGACCTCTGACTTTGAGGTGAGATTGACTTATAAAGTACTGTATAACTATCAATTGCAGAGTCCTGGGGTCAAATCCTGTGAGAACAGGATTTTTTTGTGTGATGAGTTACAACGCCACTCATTTTAAGCCTCACATAGAGACTTTAGGGGACGTTCCATCCTATACATAGCAAGTTTAATAATTGTTGTTGGATGCTTTCAAAAAATATAAAATAAATAAAAACAAAGTGTTTGTTGAGTTGAAAATGGTAAATAGGCTTCATATTATTTTTAGACGTGTATAAAGGAGGAAACTGAAGTTACCATTCTCAAGCTCTGTGAGGTGTAGATAGTGAATTATTTTATTAATTTTGTTGATATTATTTATCTTTTTTTAAAAATGTATATATACTGCCTGTGTTGAAAAATAAAAATGAGTGTTTGAGTTGATGATTAAATTTGTTTGTATGCAAGTGTTCACCTTTCAGTCGATATTTTCATATCCACCAATCGGTAATAAGTTAAAAGATTTTTATTCAGTAAAAATCGATTGGAAGTTGGTAACTTGCTTGATCTTATTAAATAAGCAATTCCGTGTTTTGATAGTATGTGTCAGTTCTTTCAGACTTCACCACAGGCAGTGTATAGAATATATATGCCTATATTGGATTAATATATGGTATTTGATATGTCATAATCAATAAGTTAATTATGTTAATTATGATTGCTGCATTAAATGTTAGTAAATGATTCAGGCCTACTCGTTATACAGTAGAATAGATCTTTTCCCTAAGCCCTGCCCATTGGATATTGTTGCTAAAGTCCCATAGACACTTCAGAAAGATCCATTGTACTATAAAACATACCCCGATAGAAGCTGGGTGCTTTTATAGAACATGAGTTATAGTGAAGGTGGTTTTAGATATGGAAATATTTCAAGTTATTTTAGGTTTTCATTCAACTTAACCACCATACCATAAAACCTCGAATTGAAGCCCAGTGGGCTTATCTCAAGATGAAGCCCATCTCGAATTGAAGCCCCCTCTTTAGTTTGCAAAATTAGCCTCGAAAAGAAGCCCATCTTGCAAAGATAGCATTGGCTTCTTTTCGAGATAGTACAGTATATACACTGTACATGAATTTCAAAAAAACAAAATAAATTAAAAACAAACTTGGTTTATACAGTAGTTTAGGCGATTTAATATTAGTTAAATACACTTTATGATACAGATTGATGTTACAGTGTCCGTATTTATTGTTTTATAGTACAAATTCGCAAAATTTACAGTATTCATTTGGAAAAAGAAGTCCCTCTCTTTACTTGCAAAAGTAACCTCGAAAAGAAGCCCATCTCGGAATTAAGCCCATCTTGATAAAAAGGCCCATTTAAAGTTCGCAAATAAAAAGAAGCATAAGGCTTTAATTCAAGGTTTTACGGTAGATCAATACATGACCTGTATTATATCTCTGTTCTGTTTGCAGCTAGTTGTAGTGGATAGTTTTTAAAACTAGCCACACCCCCATATACTCCACCCCACCTCCACTTTTTCCATGTTATTGAAATCTAGGATCCACACCTGGGCTAATTATCTGGGAAAAAAAACAAAACACCCCAGGATTCTACTACTTCATGAGAGGTCAAAGAAAGGAAGCAGTGGCAGAAGCATTCCACCACTTGCCATACAGAATCTGTCCGTTAAAAGAGGTGAAACATTTCTGCCTGACTTTCTGAAAGCAGTTTTTTGTCTGATTTCCTTGTATAAAAATTCATTTAAGTCTAAACCCATTATTTCTGCATCAGCTATAAAAACTTAAACTTTTTTTTATATTTTGTTTGATAACTTATTCAGAGTATACTGTATTATGGAACATTTATTTTGGTTTTTTGTTGAAGAGTTGTAAATATTTAAAAATGTTATATTCGAAAATGAGGCTATAGATGCTGGAATATGTATTACTATGAGAAGGAATTACTTGAGCATTCAATTGGTAGATTCAGATAAGTTTTGCCCTCTGTGCCTTCAGTTGTTACCCAAAGTTATTTTTCTCAGAAGAGTGAGTATACAGATGCAATTATTATTAATTGCATATGTAAAAATAATAATGTATACTGTGAGAAATTTCAATGGATTATTGCCTCATAGCTCTGTTGGTAAAGCAACAATAGTAATTGGGTTTGAATCCTCAAAAAAAAAAAAAAAAAAAACTTATTTAAAAGAGAAAAATGACCTTAGTTTACCGAGCATAATGTATTTCAATGCATTATCCTATGCTTTATCTTCGACAGAGGGTGCTTCTAATGGAAGCAGAATGATCCAAGGTACAAAGGCACAAGGCACTAACAATGAGGTAACATCATGGGAGGATGATAAGAGGTTTATAATCTACATAATTGTTATAATTTTTATGATTGTATGATTTGGAAGGCTTTTGTAATTTCCAGCCTTACTATCATTGTACCTCAGGTCTTAGTGAGATTGATTTTGAACATGAATTCCTGTTGTTTTGTGATTCAACAAATGAAAATAAAGCCAAATATGATGATGAAAAATGATTTTGTTTTGATGCTCTTCTTAATTATTCAGCGTTACATAGGCACTTAACCAACAGTGGGCTGGATTTTGTGGTACAGCCAAACCGTCGACAGTTTACAGATAAACCTAATATTCAAAAAACTGATGACGAAATTCGCTATTAACAAGGTTCAATCATTCAACTCCAGGGCCTGTCTTCCCCCCCCCCCATTCCACAAGGTCCCTTCAATGGACATCAGGTAATGCCTAGGTTACCCTACGACCTTGACTCTCACAGATAATTATATTAATTGGCAGTATCAAAATTGATAAAGTTAATTTAGATGATGATGATGATGATGAAGAAATACTATAGTAATAAGTGATGATGTAGTAATATTGTTTGAAACAAGATGATGAAATACTATAGTAATATTGTTTGAAACAAAAATATAACTTAAAAAAATAAACAATCAAATCCAACAAATATATGATTTAATAGATTCAGACCAAAAATAAAACATGACTATAATAACTACAATAAATTGTTAAACAATTTTAAACTGTTGAACCAATTCTATAGTAACTATTTGGTATTTGAATTTCAAATAAATTCAGTGCAGTGTTTACTGGAAGCAGACGGAGGGAATCAATTTGTCAAAATCTTAAATGTTTTATGGACGGAAAATCTGACCCTTACTGCTGAGTAGTAAAATTATTACTCATTATACCATTAAATTCTAATCTTTTTTACAATGTAATCAAAGAGAGAATGTAGTTATTTTTTACTGGAAATGCGTCTAATATTTTTTTGTTTGTAAGTTAGGACACCACAGAGAGTGTAGCAAGCAAGGAAGTGTATTATACAAAAGTTTCACAAGAACTAGAGTAAGTTATGTAGCCAACTTCAGAAGATATTCCTTGATAATCCCACGGATGAGGAGCTGGAATTGTTTCAAAGAATGTTAAAGTCAATGTAGGTATGTACAAATGATATAAACAGGCTTCTTTTTTATACATAAGTTAATCATCATTAGTGTTTATTTCTTAGGTGCAATAATCCCTTCCAACTGGGTCTGTTAAAGAAAAGACAAAATATAAGAAACAATAATTATTTATTGCCATGAACATATTTTAATACAATGATTTAAGTTAACTAACTTCATAAAGATGTAATATTATACTGTATTTTCAAAAAGTATATATACATATTTTATATTTCTATGTTTTAATATGATAATATATTTTACTATTGTATTAAATAATATGAATACTAATATGAGTAAAGATATACTGTTGTAGAATCTACAAAACATATTAAATATTGATCTGATATATAAATAAATAAATTAATTGGTCAAACAGAACATATCAATTCATTTTTGCAGACTTCAGATCAAAACAAATATATCTTTAATGAAACAGATAAGCAACTTAGCTAAGAATTAAACAAATAAATTACTAGGTCGTTTTACTTAAACTACATCATACAACATGAAAAAAAGAATTACCTTTAGCTGTTGATTGGTCCTTTTCAAGAACTGAATCTCCTCTGAGTGTTTCTTTTCCTCAACTTGCCTTCGTTCGGCTTCTCGCTTTTCGATAGCATCACATTTAGCCTTCAGTTCATTGACCCCTCGCTCAAGGTCTCGTTTATCTTGTTCTAGTTCTTGTATCTGCCAAACAAATGAAATGTTTACTATAAATAAGTTTAGAAGTAATTTGAAAGTAAAACAATATTTTACTCATGTTTGAGTCAAGGAAAGGTTAAATCAAAATAAAACGCAACACTCAGTATGGCAAGACTAAATTTATAGTATATAGTAGTCATGGTTCTAATTTATAATAATTGATCATTTATTTGTTACTTTTTTAGTTACCAAATTTGGAACACTTGTAATTTTAATATAGTATAGTTTGTGAAAGATTTGTGTTAAAATTTTGATATCCGCCACTTTGCCCTGAAATGGGCGTATGATACTGTACCTTCTTTTCCATGTCTGCTTTGCCTTGTTCAGCCTGTAGGGCTTTCCTCATTCCAAACGCTACACTGCTCTCATATAAGGTCTGGTAGGCAGCGATTGTCATTCTAATTTCGTCTCGTACACGCAGGAGAAGTAGACCGCGCTCAGCACAATTGATAGTCACCTGGCGAATCAATTCATCTAAAAGAAAACAAAGAATGAAATGGCATAACTTACAAACAAGGATCCAGAAAAATTAAAAAAAAATTGAAGATGACAATTGTGTTAATTTATAAAACCTGGATAAATATATTGTTTTGGAAATAGAATGTAGTAAATGAAAGTACTTTAATAATAATTAAATTTGATATTTACCAAAACATTGTGAATATAGCTCCCTCCTGACTGGACATATGCCTGTTTCTCGTGCTTGTCGTTGCTGTAGTCTCATATCCAGCTGTTCTTGAAGGTTAACAACATCTAGACGAGTAGCTGGCGTACTGGAGACTTGCTGTACCCAAAGTTGACCATTCTCTGTCCACTCCCTAATATGAAAGTAATATACAGTATTTTCAAACTGGGTATATGCTGGGCAGTCTACATTATTTAAAGAATCCTAGGTAATATTTTTAGTATTGTATGAAGTAGGGCTTTAAGTCCTGTATAATTCATAAACTACAGTAGAACCCCCCAAACCAAAAAAGTGTCTCCTTAAAGCTACGTTCACATCAAGCCCGGAGTCCGGACCCGGTTACGATTTCCGGTTGTGCGTTCACATCGCGTCCGGGGAACAAAGCGTCGGGGTCAAAGGAAGCAACCAAGTGGAACGACGTCAACATAGCTACGGTGATGTCGAGGATGCTGTGGAAGACGTATAGAGCCTAGTAATGACCAGGCCAAGTTCTGTCTCTTATACACATCTGAGGAAGACAGACCCCGGGACCAAACAGTGTTGATCGTGCTTCTGAGCCTGACAAATATTTACAATTTCTGTATTTAGGTAGGCCCTAGGCCCGCATAACTAGCAGCTAGGACAGATATAGGCCTGGGGGGGCTAGGCCAAACTAGAGAAAGATTATTATTACTGTATTATCATATTATTCATACTGTATAGAGTATTTGAAGATTTCTACGATATCTACAATATGGAAAGACCATATCAAATAAATTGAAAGTTAATAAAAATAAAATTATTACAATTTACATCATTCAAATTAATTAAAAATGTATTTATTCAACGAAACATAAAGCATCAATAATATTGTAAGCTCCAATGCTGTCTCTTATACACATCTAGATGTGTATATCAGAGAAAAGTAGGGGTTACCCCGGTGTACTGCTTCATTCAGTCCGGTCGTTTAATGGTTATGCCATGTAGGATAGCAATTAAGTTCACTTATTGGCATATCCTTGGTGCTCGTACCTAAGAAATGAAATATTACTAATTTTTGACTTGGACTTGTTTGGCCTTGGGAAGTCTGTGCACAGTTTGTTTTCTAGACTCAAAAAGCTGGCCAATGGATCTTTTTCCTTCTTTGCTGTCAAATACTTAACTATTTTAGAATTCACATATTTGGTTTTCACCATTTTCCTTTTTAGTGATAAACTTAGGGGAATTTTTTGTCTTTTGTGGGGTTCCCTCTACTTTATCAGCAACTACTACGACTTCAATGTTATGCAGTAGGTGTTCGCATTGTTTCATCATTTATCGATAAGTTTCCAGTACTTCTGAAACAAAATAAAAAAAATTCTGCTTATAGTAAATTGTAATACAATAAAATATTTTTCAAATACTGCATCACATAGTCATAAAATTTGTATGCCTATAAAGTTTTTATAATTAATTATTAGTTTCTCTTTCAGTTTTTCAATGAGTTGGAGTCTGAATTTTTTTTTGTGCTAAAATAATGTACTGCTCTTGTGTGAATTATATTACTAGTCAGTATAATTTGTTCAGCAAACTATGAACTGGCTAAACAATGATAAGTAAAATAAAATTTATCAATTATTGTTACTTGTATAAATAATTTGGGTATGTAATTTATAATTTGCATTGTTCATCCACTGTTTCAATAACTACAATTTGTTATTCAGTATTAGGCTACACTATTTATAATTTTTATGATGATACATTGAGAGTAGACTCTGCCAAAACACATTCCTTTCATAGAGCCTAGTAATGACCAGGCCAAGTTAAATCTCATGCTACGCCTGATATAAGCATTATATATTTCCCTCCCACACATCATTTTTTCCCGGCTGGTATCTTTGTTGTAGCGTTTATCTGCCAGGTTAGGCCCCATAAAAAAATTATTTGTTTATCACCCTATCAAATCAAAGTATCAAAGGAAAGACTGATGAAGGAGTGTTTTGGTTTTTTTTTTTTTTTTTTTTTTTTTTTTGAAAACTGCCCATAATTTACCGATGTTCACAAGTAAATCAATGGTAGGGACACATATAAAAAGTCATAATGCAATCAAATTTATATTTTTAAAAAAGTATGTTTTTGTTGTACCAGTAAACATAATTGCAAGAAATCCTGAGCTTTTCAAGGGAAAAACGATGGAAAAACAACCATTTGAAATAAAAAGATATGTTGAATAAATATGTATTGATTAAAAAAAGGCCGTGCGTGTTCCGGCCCCACAGACAGACGATAGGCCCTCACTTCACCCCTCTATTATCACTAGGAATGAAGCCTAGGCTAGTGCCGTGGGGTCTGTCGTCTGTCTGCAGGAAATGCGCAACTTGGCTAGCAACTGCTGCTGTCGTGTTTTTTTTACTAGGCCTAGCTAAGCTAGTCTAGTAGGGCCCCTAGGCTGGGCCGGATAAACGCTCTCTCAGACTCTAGACTAGGCCTAGGCTAGAGATATAGAGAGCTGAGAGAAGTTCATTTAATTTTATTTTTAATAAGAAAACTAGAAATATACTTATCTTTTTTAGTGAATCTGTTGTTTGATGTATGATACAAGTTACGCCTAAAATACAGCATAAAATTAAAAAGCAAAAACAAATCCCGGCACGGCACACAGTATCTTTTCTCGCGCTGACTTTTTTCGAGGTGTTTCAGTTCAGAGGGTCATTCACGCTTGTCGCTGATTGGTCAGAAATAAAAATCCGTTCGGATTCACGTTTCCAATGGCTTTCTGATCCATTGCTCCGAATCCGGAGTCCGGGGAAAAAATCGGACTGTGTAGATGTGAACGCTTCTATTCATTACCACTAAAGCCATTTCTCACGATTTTTTCTCCGGACTCCGTACCGGAATCCGGGCTTGATGTGAACGTAGCTTAATAGGGGTGTCCCCTGAATGACCATAGAGCTAAAAATATATTTCATTTCGCAGCCAAGAAGTGTCCCCTTAATATGGCTTGTCCCCGGGGTGTTCCAACGAAGGGGCTCTACTGTAGCAATATATTTAACTTGCAATAATTGAGACAAAAAACAATCAATATCACAACATCAGTAAATTGAAATGAACCAAGCATCTTGTCCGACTGGCACTATGGTTACTTGTACTTTATACAGTAAATCTGATAAGGAAGGCACTCTCCAGCATGTTAATAAACAACTAATTAAAATATAAAAATAAATCAGAATTTCTATTTTATATCTTGTTATTCTTATCTTATGGGTCATAAGCAGGTTGACATTTTTACCTTGGAGGTAGAATAGAGTTAAGTATTTCATCTGTCTGTTGAGCTTTCTGAGCCTCCATCGGAGGGAGTTTACTTCCACCTTTCGGAGGTGGGGTTGGTACTGGGCCGCCATTGCTAGGTGGTGGAGAGCTTGTCTTCAATGCCCTAGCCTGCAGGATAAAACACAGTTAGTTAACAGAATGAAGAGCAATAAATGTAGACCAAGCATGAAATGGCATGTTATTCAGTCTGAAACAAACACTATTCAAATGGAATGCATCCGATACATTGTCACTCAATCACTTTGATGGTGACCTTTTAGATGAAACTGTGATGTGGGAAACTTTTTGAAGAAATTTTTCTATCACATAAATAGAGATGATAGGCCTACATACTGTAAACAGTGATAGAAGAGTGCTATTTATTTTTTGCTCAGAGTGTTTGTTTCTGAATCAGAAAATATATATATCAACAATTTGTAAAAAATTTGTTTTTCTATATGCCCTATGCTTGCATCTATTTTGTATGCATATTGTTTTTTCCCTTTAATTATAATTTTTGTTGATGAGACTTTGCTATGGTGTTTGCATTTGTTTTTTGTTGTGAGATAATAGGCTAATGTTAAATTTCTTTGTCTGGTTTCATCTAGATTTTGCTCTCCTTTTAAATATTCTGTTTATTAACCACACCAAACTTAAACCTGTAATTTCCTATTTAAAGTTACATGCCTGAGAGCTGCAAGAAAAGAACTGGTGCATAAAATTAAAAAGATTTCACATTAATTTAATATCATGTTAAAATATAACTAAATAAATAGGCTCTAGTGCCTAGGTCTAGTTAAATTATGTTTGTTATTAATTCATATACAGTACAATGAAATGGTTTACCAACCAAGTCATTTAAAATGTCTGTTTTACTGTAAAACAGAAATTTGAATAGGTTATTTATAGTAGGCCTAGACTTGATAAGCCTCCTGTAATTATTAGGCAGCGCAGACTCAAAATAGCAGCTTCCTTTACTCTGCGGCAGTGCGGATAAAAAAAAATCAAGAGCAGTTTTCTACACACACGTTTGTTTGTATCCTGTTTAGCAGTACCAGCAGTGAGGAGTTGAGTGCCGATAGAATAGAAAGAAAAAAAAAGCTTTCCGCACTGATGATAGTCTCAGCCTCAGGTGAGGAAGTGCGCTCCACATAAGACTGATCTAGGCTAGGCTACGCTTAGCTAGGTACCCCTATTTAGGCTAGTCTAGTAGTTGATGTAATACTAGTACTACCACTACTACTACTACTATCACACAACCAAAACACACAGCCTGGCTGTAATGAGTAGGGTAGTCTGCCTAGGCTTAGGCCAGGGCCTGGGCTAGTAGTAGGCCTATGCTGCTAGTAGTAGTAGTACTAGTACTAGGCCTAGTTAGGCCTAGCCTAGGCCCTTGTAGCCTAAAAAAGTAGGCCTAGCCTAGATATAAAAGGGTAATAAAAACATCTTTAAATTATAATTACCCTTGGTGTCTTCTTTTCTGGGTTACGGCTAACAAGTACCGGGTTGTCATATTTGACCAGGGATGTATTTGGGGGAATCATTATAAATTTAAAAAGTTACAAATATGATAAAGAATTTGAGATAATACAATACAAACTCTCCGTAAAATTTACTGTGTGTCCGATAACCATGGAAACTGAGCATGCGCAATAAAATGTCTTGTGACTGTTGACCTCCTTCGTTCCCATCATTCATGGTAGAGTAGTAAAGATGGCGACGGCTATGAAACCACTAAGTTGGAGTTGGACCGGTAAGTAGGCTTTAGGAAAATTGTATAAAACTGAATGTATGGAAAATAAGTTTATTAAATGCAGGCGAATTGAAATAGGCCTATAATTGTTTAATTTCAAACGTTTTATTGTAAAATTATATATAAAAAAATGAGTGGTAATATATAGAAAGTGAGTGAAACCTCACACATACACACACATGTCACAAGACGTAGGCCTAGGCCTACGACGGTACGGTGTAGGGAACGACGCACACACTGCACTGACTGGCTCTCGGATGCTGTTCACGGTTACAGTTGTTGATATTGCGTTCTGAATATAAACATTAACATCTATCAATAAATTTGTCTTATTTGTTTACCAACAATGCATTAGAAATGTATAGACCTACCTAGCTAGGCCTAGGCTAGTTTAGTGTCAGTTTAGCTAACTTAATAGGCCTAAAGTAAGGTTCTACTGACACTGTACTGTATCTTAGTTTAATAATGACGATGGAATGAAAAATATGAAACTTTACTTCAGATTTGCCATGCAGAACATGAATTTCCCTTAAAATAAATGGATTAAATGAGTGAAAAGCATGTATCTAGGGCTGGCCCAAATACTGAAATTATGGCGCAATCAGTTTATGTAAATTCATCTGATGTCCTTTGGTACTGACAGATTTAAGGGACAAGTTACGGAAATGGCGAGAAGAAAACTCACGGGAAAGTGAAGCTATTGTTCACCATGGAGAAATTTTAATTGCTCATCATAAGAATAAAATTGGTGATGAGAGTAAGTATTCTGTTGCTAGTGAGAGTTTATATTAAATGTACATAAATTAAGAGTTTTACTAAAAAAGGAATAAAAAAAATGCATCCAAAATGTTGAATTCTTATGGTATAAAAAGCTACATCGCCTTCATTTCTGAAATGATCATGATAATGATAATCAAATGATTACGGTATATTATACCTAATCAGTATTAAGTGTAAATGAATATTATATACTGCCTTTTATATACTTAAAAATATTGAATATTTAAATTGATTACTTTGGGAATTTGAGTAAGTTGTTGTTAATGTTTAACAAGAAAAGCTTTCTTGTACCAATAAAAATAAAATGTTCTGATATTTCTATGCATCAACCATGAGATTGGCAGGTAATTAGAAGTTCTTTTTTATAAGATTAAAAAGTCTACAAATCAGTAAAACTTAAGTCTTACAGTAAGTTGTTTCACTGGAAGTTTCATTGATTTATAGGTTTTTCATATTTCATATAGTTAACTCATAGTGGCCCACTCTATATAAAACATAGACTATACTAACATTAGTTACCAGTATATATTTTTCTATATGTAAATAATATACTATGATAATTATACTGATATGATATATTATAGTGAATTTTAAATTGTTATAATTTCATGAATATTTTATAATTAAGTTGTGCTATATTTGTTGTATATTATTTAAATGATCATTTTGATCTCTTAGTCTGGCCTGTGTATGAGCAAGTATGTATAGCAGCACTTGATTGTGGTAGGAATGATCTGGCAAATCGTTGTATTTCTGAGCTCACGTTACAATTTCCAGACAGTGCGAGAGCACGTAGACTTCAAGGAATGCAATTGGAAGCACAAGAAAGGTATTAAATTTAATTTTTACCCAGGCTATTAATTTTGGATTTAAATGTATTGTAACATTGAGCTGAGGAGATGAGTTTTAAAAGAAAAATAAGGGGCATTTCTTACAGAAGTCATATATATAGTAATTTTTTTATTTTGATTATTGTGTATAAACAGAAACAGAAGAATTTTGTAAAATACATTAACAATGATAATAATGTCAATATGTATATTTTAAATGGGTACTTTAATAAGTGTAATTGATATTAATTGTACTATTAAAAATTACAGACAAAGTGCCTAATTCATAAATTTATTTCTTTTAAAAAGAAGGCAAATTGCAAACAGAAAGTGGATTAGAATTCCACCAAGATACGTCTTGAACAGAAAATATGTGTTGACCATTGTATTGTTGTCATTATCCTTATTATAACATTTATATTAATATCAACTTCTGTTAACTATTGTAATTGCTGCTGTTTTTGTTTTGCTATTACGACTGTGAATTGCACACAAGTATTTTTAAATTTTTCTTTTTATTAATAATAATAATAATGACATTTATAAAGCGTTGTATGCCAGCAAGCTGACCCCAGAGTACATACAATCAATCATATTTAAACAATACAGTTAACGCGACATAATAAAAGAAAATCATCCTACAATGTAAAATACGTAGTCTAGAAAACATATTTACAAAAAATTTATCATTGAATATAAAATAAATAAGTCACCAAATCCTATAATAAATAAAAATCTTTTTTCAGATATAAAGAAGCACTTCATTTATATGATGATCTATTAAAAAAAGATGAATCAAATGCTGTAAGTACAGTTATTATATATTTGCATAAATTAATATTCAAGTAAATACTTGTACTCCATAAATATTATTTTGCTCCCTCTGAAATAAAGAAAAATCTTTTTATTACAGCAAATACGAAAGAGAAAAATTGCAATAACATTAGCTCAGGGTTGTAGAGATGAGGCTATCAAGGAACTTAACACACATTTAAAACAGTAAGTTACATTGCCATTTCAGTATTTTATAGTAATAGATTGTGGTTGTTATAAATTTGACTTCCAATGTCAGTGGATTCTGGGTTCAAATTCTGTTAGATGCCTGAATTGAATATAGTTTGTTTAACCAATAGTTGCTAACTATTACCATAAGTATTTTAAGAAAGAAGTAAAAATTAGGGTAAGTACTAAATTTAATACTTTGATTTAAAAAAATGATAAATTTGTATATATATATACTTATACAATACTACCTTTTGAATAATTATACATTATGTGACATCATTTTTTATCAGATTTATGGGAGACCAAGAAGCATGGAAAGAGCTTGCAGATTTGTATATAGTAGAACAACAGTAAGTGCACCTTGGAATGTGTGTATACGTACTGTATATCAGCAGCCAATTCAGATGAAGGCAACTGCTCAGCCTTGGGTGAAAGTCCTATGTAATAAGCAGATAAACATTAAACACAATGCAAGCATTTGTGATTGTTTTAATAAAATACTGCTTATCAAAAAGATGTCTTCAGCTGATTGACATTATTTGACAAAGTTTCTGGTTGGAGGTTTGCAGGTTGAGAATTTCAAACAGTGCTGTATTATGTTTAGTGCAAAACACTGCAAATAAGATGTGTCTTATAAAGAGAAATTTAAAGAAAAATGATTTCTTGCCATGTATATGGGATCCCTACCCCCCCCCTCCATCTTTACATTTTAGTTAATAATTTAAACACATCATGGAATTACAGTTTGTAGAATGTTATTGTAAATATGATTTCTACTGTTTTCTCTAATAGTTATGAAAAGGCTGTTTTTTGTTATGAAGAATTGATTCTAAGCAACCCACACAATCACCTATACCATCAGCGATACGCAGAGGTAAGGCCTGTTGCCTAAATATCTATCAATTTTGGAACATAACATTCAATATTAAAATAGCTAATCTAGTATAATTTAAAGTAAGTTATTATCCTTTAATTGAATTAGAATCAGTGAGCAGAAAATATGCCTATATTTTTTGCATAAATTTAAATTGGTTGGTAATCAGTCTATGGATTTTGATCTATCTCTTTGGATATCTTATGTTTTTAAATGAATAATTAAATGAATGAATTATATATTTGTGGGTTTTTTTTCTGACAGTATATAATATTTAATATCTGTAATGATAATAAGATCGATTAATATGAGAATGCATAAATATTTAAATATTCATACTCTTACTTCTTTTATTTGTCTTCTTTAGCTGAAATACACACAAGGTGGAACTGAAAATATGGAGACAGCCAGAAAATATTTTGCTCAAACACTGAAGTTGAATGCAAAAAATATGAGAGCTTTATATGGATTTTACTTGGTAAGTTATATCAATAATAAACAAAGAGGTAACAATAATATAAATTTTTAAAATCTATTTTTGTAAAGTGCTTTGGTCTCTCGGAAAATCGCTTTATAAATCTAAATAAATAAATAAAGCTTAGTGGATACTTGCCTTCAGATTCCAAGGTCCTGGGCTAAAATCCTGTAACAGTACTGTATTTTGTTTACTCACTCATTCCTCATATTGAGTTTTTAAAAGCATCACATTCATTTATTTAAGGGGAACCCTGCTTATTTGCTTACCTATTAAATGCTGGAAGTGTCACCATCTATAAACATGCTATAGATGTATGTATGTCAAAAGTCTAGTCCAAGCTTATGCCAATGTGGTTTTTTTAGAATATGTTTATTTATTAATTTCATTCTGCAAGACAGATATGACCATAAAAATGGGTCAGAGAAACAAGTCTGCAAACCTGAAAAATGATGAAAATCTTCAGCATTGTTATTCTGATGGCATACACTGCTTTCATACTGCTTCATGCTTAGTGTTAATATTACTTTACGAAACAGGTGGCAAAGTGCGGCCCGAAGGCCATGTGCTGCCTGACAGTGATTATTTTGCGACCCGCGAAAATGAGTTAAAAATCCTATGTGTGAGGCCCGCCGACCATCTGTTAGCTAGAAAAGGCTTTGTTTTTCACAGAAAGACACCAGTCACCTGTAAACAGTAATATTAAAACTGAGCATAAAACGTATAACAGCTGCAGTGCATGGAGGTTTTTGGAAGCACACTAGAAACATATAAGTTTGGTTGTCGCCCTCAGTGTCTAGTGGCCTATAAGAGAATTTCTGGCAGGCTGCCCATCTGTGCTGTTGTGAGTCTAAACATGGTTTTGAAGTCTGGTGAATGATCTCAGTCACCGGACGAACTTTGCTTGTGTATAGTTAGTGTCAGAGTGCTAAACCTATTTACTGTTCTAGCTAGTGTCAGCTCACTGTTGAATAATAATACAGTAATAATAATAATATCTTGAATTTATATGCGCCAATTCCAAACAAGAGCAAAGGTGCAACGCATGTGAAAAGCCACCAGAAAACATAAGTGTCTTAAGAAGTTACAAATAGAGTTGGGAGTTGGTTCCAAAAATATGAATATTACAGTATTGAGAAAAAAAAATGTGGATTCCAAACTACCCAATAAATGCATGTCAGCAAAATATGGACATCATCAAATTACTTGGAATTCATGTTAATTTCAATTTCATTCTGTACATGTTTTCTACAGGCTGCAAGTAATTTAAGTTTAGCACCGAAGGCTAAGCAGAAGGAAGAGAACAAAAGATATGCAGACTGGGCACATCAGCAGATTTGCCAAAGATACAAGGTACAGTACACAACTAGTTGTTGCACGCTAACAAATTCTGAAACTACTTAAACTACAGTAGTCTATTCAGGGGACACCCCTATTAAGGCAACACTTTTTTTTTATTGTCCCTTAGGGTTTCATTTTATTGGTTAAAATAAAAATGAACTTTCTAAAAACAGTCCCAACAAAAACTTGTAGTGTTGGGTAAAGTAGCTGTAGGCCTATAGACATGATATTCATTAGAGTTCATGAATGGATCGATTATAATGCAACATATTTTATAGTAGATAGGTGATGCAATATCAAAACAATTAACATAGTTTTAAAATAACAAGAAATAGAAATAAAAAACAATTTTTTTTTTAAATAGGAAGTGCAAGATGAGCAAATGGAAGAGGATCAGCAATTGATGAAACAGATGATGTTGGCACTTGACATTACCACAGCCAACCAATGAATTTTTTTAGATGGACACAGCCAACCAATTAAATCCTTTAGATCACGATCTAAGGAGTTACCATTTGACATGTATGTCGCTGAGCTCTCAAATGCAACTTGTGACTGTCTCTGAATACAAAACAGGCTTGGAGTTGTATGTTTCACGAATCAGCATTTTAACACACCAAGTAGCCAATGGCAACATCCACCTGAAAATCATGTGAAAATTGACAAAACCATTGTGGTGTTAGTAGATCCAGGTTATTCATAGTCCTTAAAATTGCCACCGAAATACAAATTCAAGACCTGTTCAGACAAATAGGATAAGATAAATAAGATTTCTATAGTGTTCAAATCCATTTTAAAGAAATGCTCAAGGCTCTTGAGAAAATAAACTGCGAAGAGAGGTAGATTTGGAAAACTAAGCCAGAAAATGCCCTATAAACTCACCAGAAGCAGAGGAACCAGCATTACTGCTCTGTTTACCAGCACTTTGAAGGCCCAATGAGGGCTCACTAGCTCATGACCCACAGGAGGTCAAATAATGCAAGTTCAAAAGTTCAAATCATTCAGTTATAGAAAATATTGATGTTCATGGCCCACATAATTATTTGTAATATTTGATCAGAGATGTGTGTATTCAGGTCCAAGTACCATGTGTGCTTACACCATAGTTACACATACCATGTGTGCTCATTTCGTAGTTACACATACTGTACCATATGTGCATGTTAAGGTCTATTCGTCTACATTTTCAAGTCTTAGATGAATGTACATTCAGTGGATTTTTCAGAGCGTCCAAACTCCACGACTAACCAATCAGAACATGTTATTGTCAGGGCAAGAAATTGTGCAAGTTAAAATATAATTACGCCATCATTTTGTGGGACCTTGGCAACAATATCCAAGGGGCGGGATAAGTAATGCAGTCTGTTGGTCAGTATAAGTAACAGCCAATCAAAAGGCTTGAGAGTTCGGGATATTTTTGCCATATGCATAGTGAGATGAATATGTGACTGTAAACATTTGGGAATGGCACATCAATGCATACTAATAAATAATTTTGTAAACAATTATTATTTATCTTCATACAAATGAAATGGTTTTATGGGGCGGAACATTTTCATTTTTCACAAAAAAGAATCATCATTATTTGTATTATACAACACCTACTGTATATAAATCATTTCAGTGAATTTATATTGTCTACTCCTGCAAGGTGCTCAAAACGTTAAACGTGGCGAGCTGCCGATCTACGCCTATATAATCTTCCATCCCGAACAATGCAGTTCATTTTAAATTGGCAAATGGAACAAATACTAAATGAAAAGTTGCATCAGCCATGCGATGTATTTTTTTTATTGACTGGTTATATAATTCATACTTATCCATGTCAGTGCTCATCTGAGGTACTATTGTATGTTAGGAAATACAGTATAGGTTTTGAATATAGTAATATATATTTACTGTATGTACGGATGTGTACATATGGGGCGCGAGTCTCATGTTTAATAATTGATATCATGGTTGTATCAGTGTGAATAAACAATAAATAAAATATAGAAACAATTAAATTACAATTTTGTTTTATATTTATTCAAATATACATGTGGAAAATATTATATATAAAGTTATTTTTACAGCAATGGTCAATTTATATCCATCCAGAAACAATTATCTTTTTAGCACAAGTAAAATATTCTCAACATTTATGTGCTATATAAAATTGGTACAGTACTTTCATTAAAAATTAATTTTATTACGAACAGTAAGAATATTAGAATCATAAAAGTGTTCCCTTTCTGAATTTGGTGTTAGAGCAGTTCTGCGGCACAGTGGTGGCTCCAGAAATTTGCTGGGGCCAACTGGATCCTCGATGAGGATCCTGGAGTAAAGATTTTTTATGGTTTAGTATGGCCAAAAATTGTGCTCTTAGACCACAATATTAGGAATTGGAAATCAAAATAACGTTTTGGATAGGCACACATCAGATAGTCTAACATTGTCTAACAGACTCTGCTATTGGTTACATTGACTCATAATTGTTCATGATTCACTGACTGTTGACCTTCCTTGATTCATCTTTTTCTCCAACTTTCGTTTCTGTTTCTCTTCAGGTGTGATTAATACTTTACTACGAATTGCATTGTGGCTTTGATAAAGATCCTCAGTCATCTCTGCTCCGTCTGTGCACTCCTATAAAAGAACAAGAACAATCCAATCAGAAACAGGGCTGGAAATACACACACGTCTAACAAGTTGTCCCACAAATGCATGTTTTAACACCTGTCGTTTTTCTTGTTTATTGAAGATGCTAGGCATAGCTGAAAGGTTCATCGTCTTCATTTATCTGTATAATTTTCATAATTATTTTAATTACTAATTTACAAGAATCATTGTTATTAGTCGCTTTCCTACTGTTGATGTTCCTGTAGTCATTGCTTGCCTATAATATTTAATGTTTTCTACGAACAATTATTTGGTTTTAATCATTGTTATTGGTCGCCTCCTTACTGAGGATTTTAGCTTATGCTCGCTGTTGGCAAACTAACCAGTGTTTATCTAGTAAAGGTATAATATTATATCTATTTTCTTATTAATTCTACTTAACTTACATGAACATGTCTGGTTTTAATCATTGTTATCAGCCGCCTCCCAACCGTTGATGTTAGCGGTTGCTCGCTGTTGGCAACTATAGACAAACATGGATGCCTTGGTACATGATCATCGGTGTACCTTTAAAATGAAGCTTAGAATCAAAATATATTTCCAAGTATATTACAGTAAAATGAAGAAAGAAATATAGAACCGAACCAACAACCTTTAGAGTACTATTCCGAAACTCTGCTACTCAAACTATTCATCTTAAATAGAGTGCTTTTTAGGTTGTTTACTTACTGGGGTCTATGAGTTGGTAACCAGTAAACTAGACGACCATTCAAGCAGAGATATTGAGCAGAAAAATTCAGAAGATCCATAAATATGTCTGCTAGGCAGTAGCTTCGAGATGATGGAATGTGACCTTGAAGGCTACAAATTAAAAATTCAATACATAATGATATCCATTTTTTATTCTAGACTTCAATGCCACAAACATAACAAAATCATAAAAAGGAAATCAATGCATTTACATGTACTGTACATGTAAAATGTATGGATGTATTTATTTAGTATTATTTATATATGATTCCGAACTGCTTCTTTTGATTTGTTTACTTGTTCTTGTTGGGTTGGGCATTGATCATGACAGCCTGTGGATTGTGAGTTGCATTTTGTATCTGTGAAGAAAGGCGCTTTATAAATAACCAGATTGGATTGGATTAGTATGTCAGTGAACATATCTAGTTTAATAATATGAATCTACAATGCTGTTCCTTAGCCAATCACAGGATTGGGAGCTCACTTTGTCACATTTTTCAGGTATTAAAGGTGATTGAAAACCTAAAATTAATTATACACTACACAGTGAAAATATCATATGAAATATAAAGTTATTCAAAACATATTGAAATCTTATGCTTATTCAATGCAGGAAAATGTCATTCACTTACTGTTCTTCCTCTAGTTTCTTTTCCTTCTTTGAACCAATTTTTCTCGTTGATTCCCTTATTCCGTACGGAGCTGAAAGCAAGAATATCTCAATTTAAAATGATCATTATCATTATTCATTTTATTATTAAAGGAACTCTGTCAATTATATAAATTAAATGACATTACATAACTATATATATATATATAGCCTTTATATAAAGGCAATATGAATTAATTGATGGTGGAAGCAGTTTGGCACAGTAACAATGGTTTGTTTTCCCAACCTCAATGTCGGGGTTTCAATCCTTTGCTGTACATTTCGCTTGTGTCCTTGAGCAAGGCACTAAATTTACATTGCTTCAGTCTACCCAGCTGTATCAATGGGTACCAGCAAATTGCTGGGAGTAATCTGTGGTGAACCAGCATCACACCCTGGGGAAGCATCACACTCTCATCTGCTTCATGCTATTGAAACTGGGGATAAGCTTCAGCCCTACGAGCCCCATGTCTGGGCAAATGATTTACTTTTTACTTAGTAAGATAAGGCTACCTACGATCTGTAACTATAGCATCAAACATTGGTTGCTCCCTCCAAACATTACATGAGAAATCTGCCAGTAGGACATCAATATATAAATGTTCCAATCCATACTGACGTAGATTTGCTCGTATATTTTCGTCTTTTCCTGTAGAAGAAGAAAAGACTAAAAATTATATATCATGAAATATATGACAGAAATTAAACTAAAATATTTACTAAAATCATTTATAGTGTTTCATAGAGTGAATATGTAAAAAAAAATAATATAATGCATAAAACTGGCACATATGACAGTCATAAAATTGATGTACAGTATATGAGTTTGACAAATATAATTGAAAAATTAATTGACAATTCATTTACATATAATGTACATAAAATTAGCACACAGGATATTAACACAGTAGAATTGACACATAAAATCGACAGTATGATGTGGATCATATTGTCAATTATTATTATTATTATTAATATTAATAATTTTTAAGTGTTATGATAAAGCAAAATAAAATTGTTTAATTGTGTATGTAATATCACCACAAATGGTACAGTCGCGGATCCAAGGGGAGCCCACCTAGCCCGGGGGACCCCTTTTGAGAGTCAAAAAAAAAAAAAAGGAAAAAGAAAAAAAAATAAAAAATTGATTGCCCAAAAGGCCTCAGAGGTTATTTTCGGGCGTCTAGAACAGAGAAATTTTGTGGGAGGCTGCCCCAGGACCCCCTAGAGTATTATTATCTTGATCGGCCCCACTTTTGGCCCCCACTTTCGGACATCTCTAGATCCGCCACTGCAGTATGCATAAAAACTTAAGTTAGAGCAGTGGAGCAGAACAATCAAGTTTGTTCCTAAATGGAAGGAGGATTAGGATCTGGATCAATAATTGACAAAGCCTCAAATGAGACTTTTAAAATTTAGATATCTTTTTGTATGGTAACCAAAATGACCAAAGAACCAGACATAACTAAAGCGAAAGCAAAAATTCTGACCTCTATATAATTGATTTTTTCTACTTGATTTACCGCAGCCGTGTATTGTTTCATAGTTGATGTCAGCACCCATCACATATGCCCCAAAGTGGGCACAACTTATAAGAAGGCTTCCTAGTTAAAAAAAAAAAAAAAACCAAGACAAACATAGAAAATTTGTATAGAAAATGTTTGTTTAATGACAAAATGCAGCTGCACTCCTTTACTTTCATAGCATAACACAACTTATCACCACTATTATGTAAGCAGCAAATTTAAGTTTGGCGATCACATATTGCATTAGATGGCATGATTCATAAAGACTCCAACAAGACAAACATCATATGACAAAAACAATGATCCACTTTATTATTACTTTAATTTCACTGAGGACCATTATTTTTCCCTTACCTGTGCCAACAAATGGGTCAAAAACAAAACTATTTGGAGTGATTCTAGCCTGATTGGCCATAATAAAGGATAACCCTGCGTCCATACTTGTATTTCCTATAAAATGCCTTTTCTTCACTGAATATTTATCGGCTAGTTTCCGTTGGCCGTCAGTAATCTTTAACAAATATAAAAATATCTCATTGAATACTATTCTGGTTAAGATATACATTACTTATTGTTATGAAAAGCATCCAGAAACAAGGCTCACAACACTATGATGTGAGTTACAATTGAAACAACTTCAAACTTTAGAAGAAGCGAAGTAAATATCTATGGGAGAAACATTGCAGGGACTGGGTGGTGTGGTGGGGAAACAACTGTGAACTGACTGGAGGTATCCACTGATATATACATGATGACTTACAGATTATACTCTCACACTATTAAAAGAAAAAATAAAAATAGATGAGCCGTACTAGTCTGATGTAATAGAAAATAAAACTAAAAAAAAATTTTAGTACTTTAAAGCCTAGTTTATTTGACAGTACACTAGCTTTCGTGCACACAGGGCACTTTTTCAGGTTTATTATTAAAAGGCTACAATAGTTATGTTCAAAGTATAACATAATACAATACTAAACACGAGTCTCAATATTGGTGATGTTGTTTGGGCATTGTTGTTGTGATGTTGTTTTAGGAATGTTATTGTAATCTTGTTTTAACATTATTATTGTGATTTTTTTTTTTAAGTGTTGCTGTGGTTTAAAGTTAGTAATTAGTAAACCTACCCATCTTCCAAAGTATACATTGTACGGCTCTTCTGGAGCACTGTTGGGATTGATGCCGTAATCCTCATACAAAAAAAATAAGTTGTCAGGATTTGATAAATTGGCTCGCCCCTTGAAGTCTAAATGTTGTAATACCTCCTGTAGAAAAAAAAAACTCAATTAAATCAGATTTATTTTATACATTTAAATAATTTTCATTGTGCAGTAATATTAATTAAATAATATAAATTTAAACATTGTTGCTTTACTATCATGGTTTAACAGTTCATCGGTTATACAATACTTATACAGCATATTTAAAATGTGTTTTATATAAGAAAATGCTCCTGCCAGAATCACATTCCAACATATTCTCATGCAAATAGTATGGAATTTTGATTGTATCGTAAATAAGTAACACACCTGAATTATTGATATCTTTTTTTCACCTGTATGTGTTTTCCCAAATGTATGAACCCTGAGGCAAAAGCTCTGATCTTCACCACTGAATAATGAAGACCGGTCCTTCGGATATTCACGTAGTTTACTATACACTTCCTGCCTGGAATTGCCTCTTGCCCAAAGTTCAATAACTGACTTTGTTAGAATGCATCGTCCCATAATTAGTAGTGCACTTTCGTCTGATGGTAGACGGACAACCAAAAATGGTGACTAAAACAAAAAAAAAAGACAACATAGTATTTAATAACATCGTTATTTACTACACTCTGTAGTGAGCTAAAACCTTCAATATTTAAATTCAATAATAATTGTGTACCTCAGCCTAATGGACCAATTGGCTTTCAGAGGATAGGTAGATAAGATACTTTATTTTAATTATAATAAATTATTATCTTTCAATTAAAAAATTAGAACAAGAGAATATTTTCCTTCGCAATTTTAGTAATTAACAACATGTAAATAAGTGAAAATTGTTTTGATCATGATGATGCCATATTACACCAAAATATGGGCATATCTCATTTAATTTTCCACATAAAATTTGATAGTATGGGTAGAGCTTATTTGAAGCTGATAACATATTTTATTTTATTTTTTTAATGATTTAACTGATATTTTAAAAAGGCTTTTAAAGATTTTATGACAGATTTGACAGGTACAGATTTCTTAGGAACTTTATTCAAAGTGGGTCGAGACTTTTTTTACACCTTGTTTAACAAACCCGCCAACTGCAAATATTGATGATTTCGAAAAAAAAAAAAAAAATCTTATTTTATGCAAATTAGCGCACTTGCCGCCATGAAGAAGTGGAAATTTCAGAAAAAAAATAAAAGTTTTTCTTTATTTTTATTACACCCTCCACTGCCTTGAAATTTCCAAAGGTACAGTAAGATATGTATATTTCTTCCTAATTATATAAATTTGAAGCATTTAACCATCCTATTTTACATTCACCAATAAAATTTTATTTTTATTTTCTCCTCCGTCTGGATGTTTTTGGCAAAACTATTTGCTAAATAAAAAAACAATTTTATTTTTATTTTTATTCTTCCCTTCTCCGATGATCTTTAAAATATAAGTATGCAAAACAAGGAATAAAAAAAGTCTTGCCTGGACAATAACGCACTTGTTTGTGGCAATAGGGTTATATGAGGCATGTCGTGGCAAAATGGTTAAGTTGTCGTACAGGCCAGTATTGAGTAAATGAGCTATAAAATATGGGAGCTCAAAAAATTGCCTAAAAATCAATTTTTTTTTCACTATAGATCAACAGTTTAATGTCTTATTAATCATCTCCCAAAGTATTAGTGCTGGACAAACAAACAACAAAAATAATAAAAATCAACAAATCGTTTATTTAATGTTATTTAGATAGTTAATTCTATTAAACAATGTATGCACAAATAACTTTTGAAGGCAATTACTCAAAATCATGTTTATCTTGACTCTAAGAGTGCTGTACTTTCACTTTCCAATAACTTAGGCTTGAAATGTCCAATTTCAATGAATGACCCCTCATTTTAAAGATCACATAATCAGGTATCTGAAAATACCAATAACTTGAATTTCAATTTTTGCTACAACTTAGCCATTTTGCCACAACCTGCCTCATATAACTTCTTTTGCCATATCAATGCAGCATCAAAAATGTTTGTAACATTTTGATGAAATAAATACAATTTTTAAAATATCCTCAATCTGAGACAACAATATCTAGACTTAAGTTTAAGGTCTGGGTCAAGGCAGCTCCACTAATCACCACCTCAGATTTACTTATTAAATGTTGTTGGAAAAATATCCATGGCCAATAAAAAAAAATCACAGAACTTATGACAAATGATGATGTCGTCATGAATAAAGCATCAAATTATTGTCTGTAAAATACTTGTTTAAATGTTTTTATTGTATTAGATCAGCTGGGTAAAAGAGTTCTGAAATAGACCTACCTTATTATCATAGTTCTCCACCAATTCCATTTTGATCCCATGGATGGCTACAAGTGACTGCAGCTCCTAAAATAGTAAAATAAAAGTAGTAATTTTCACATATCAATTTTTTCACAAATTTTGAAATTTACTGTATACTGTAGCACACTATGTATAGGCATACATAGGAATTAACTACGGATCAACCTACTGAATGGTTACACCAGAATACAGATTGATGTCGAATATTAAATCTTTTCTTAAGTGGGTTGAATCAGGGAGCTGTAAACAACACACACTCAACAGTATAAATAAGCCAGTCCTACCCTTGTCCATTACACTTGCCATGTATTACTTGTTTCATGACATAAATAGCCAAAGCACAGATGGGAACTCGTTTCAAACAAACATACTCAAATCATTTATTTCCACAAAAAAACAAATGTACTAAATTGAAAATGCAAATAAAAATTGAAAGATAAATAGACTACATAAATAAACTTGTAAATAAAAGTGGAAAAAGAGGCACCAAAAGGAAGCATGCTTTCAAGCGGTTGCCCCTCATTTATGAAAGTAATACAGTAATAATTGATTTATCTATGTAACTAAAAGTAAAAATAAAAATCAATATAAAAAATTATAACGATATAAACTATATGTTAACAACATTAAAAATGAATTAAGTACTATTAAAGAAGGTACAATTTTCAATCAGTTAGACACTCTTTAGCATTTATTTCATATTCATCTAATAAGCTCATTTAAGTTTCCTGATACCATCATACTGTTTCTAGGTCCTATCCCTCTTCCTGATATATGATTCCATATTTTTTTGGTCCATATATAGTCAGTACCCCTTTGTTCCAAATTTGTATTTTTCTTCAGGATACGTATACTCGTATCATATATGGGAACACAGTCATGTTTAAAAAAGCGTATTAAAAGTTAATGGCAACTGATTTTTCTCATAGCCCCCCCCCCCCCAAGGCCTACAGTATTTGTACATAAAATCGGAAATACATTTTTGTATAATTAAATTTTAATGGTATTAAGTTGACTCTAAAAGACTAAGTCTTGTCTAAGAGATTATGTTTTATTTTAAAATTAAAAGTGGCAAAGACAGATGATGATGTGTTTTCAAATAATTCTTAAAGCTTCTTTTCTGTAGTATATGGACACAGTTCATCAAACCAGGCCCAATAAGCGGGCCTAGCCAAAGCCTAGCCCCCCCCCCCTGCCCTCTGGTGGTGTACTACTACCTACTAGGCTATACTATACTATAGCCGCTATAGGCCTAGCGTAGCCTACTGTTTACTCTAGCTTTTTTAGGTTAGGCCTTTCTGGCTAGGCAATTCCTTGTGATCATCATAAAACTTTTCTCTCATCCACTAGACAATGCACTAACCGGAACTCGGAATTCCACATGATCTTGAGCAAATAAAAACATATATTCTCTCATTATTGAAGGAGTCTTTCCCATCAACTTCAAAACATTTGTGGCACTGCGCGCAGCCATGTTTAATTTGTTGTTCTCTACAGTCCAGTCGCTATTACCGTACTAATGTCTAAATCCAGACCTTTATACATGTAATTGATCATTCAAACAAAAATATGCGAGTTATAAACGTCATATAAGTTTTAATAATACCAATGATTTACATTGATTTTAATATAAGACACTTAATTTAATATTTTCATGTTTTTATATTTATGTAACAGATCTTTAAAAATCACTTCTAGACAGTCTTTATCTGAAATTGTGGAAACTGTTATGTAGGGTTGTTTATTAATTATCAAATTATATGTTTTTCTAGAAAAAAAAAGTTTTTTTAATGTTTTCTATGCTTAGGTAGGTTACTGTAATTGTAGTGACAAATTTTTGTGTTTTGATTTTAGTGCAATGCAGGTGACAAATCCTTTTACAGCGTTGGATTGATCCTTACTGACCATTTCTCTTTTTGTGTTTTTGAGTGTAGGTCTAAATGCGACCACGTTGGTGAAACGGAGTCAATTTGTTTTCCTACCTTCTGGGAATATAGCGGAAAATGGTTTATTATTCTTGAACATTAATTTTTTGTATTGTTTTATTGTTATATGCAGTAATGTATGCAGCACTGGATGGTATATGCTGGTGCCTATAGGTCTTCATGGTGTTGTTGTATAGCCATACGAATTTGTATTTATAATTGTGATATCGTTTTCTTATTCCCATTTTTAAGCTTTTTTTTGGGCAAAATTCTAATTTTAATATTCATTTAAATTTACTTCTGTATCGTTCAAATAGTACACTAAAAGCAGTTTTAATACAATCTGTTTGCAATTGTCTTTCTAATACTTTCTTGTAATTTACTTTCATTCACCCATAGGCCTAGGCTGGAAGCAAATTGTATTTAAGAAAGTATAATACATACTCCAAGTATTGAAATACACGCCATCGTGTTGGGATTCAATATTTCGACATTAATTATGTTCATCATCAGGAATGTCATTCCTGATGATGACATAATTAATGTCGAAATATTGAATCATTCCTGAGATTAATCAGTGGACCTTTCGGAAATTGTATTTAATATATTAGAATGGTGCAGTGTACAGTATAACTGTAAATAAAGTTCATATTGAAAGCAAATGTAGTAAACTCCAGTGGCGGCTCTAGGATATCATTACACATCTAGATGTGTATAAGAGACAGGGACTAAGGTGTCCGACTGGGGGTGGGGCTAAGTATTTATGGGTGTAACTATAACGCGCAACGTTATCTGAGGGACGAAGGCCGGAGTGGGTGTGGGAGGGTGTCCCCCTCCTCCCAAAATGAGATTTAAAAAAAAAAATTGTACTTCTAAATAGCCGGAAATTGATGGGATTGGAAAACTAAAAGGGCGTCGTTTGTTTACGATTCTAACATCGAGCGTACTGGGCTCGGGTTACTCTTTGCAACACTATACACTACAGACGAATGGCAAATGATATTGCATATTACTGTATATGCAATTCGTAAATCATAGTTTATTAGTTTAAAAATCTTGATCCGTGAGTTTTTGTTCATCCGTAGTAAAACTGGTAAATGATAAATTATCCGTGAGTCTCACGGTCAATCCGTATAAGTTAGCAATGTAAGTGCATTGCAAGTTTGCTTCATTGTTATTAAATTTCTTTCTTTGGTAAATTGCTGCTGGTCAGTTTAAGGATAGTTTATTTTTTTCTCATTTTCATATTTAAGTGATTTGAGATGACTTTTAATTGTGTAAGATGCTATACAAGTCC